TTAACTTGACAAATTCATATTTTATAAACTAAATAATATGATGAAAGGAGTATTCCCTTATATATTTTAAATAAATATTTATCTTATACACTATATATAAATCAAAGCCTAATCGGGGACATAATAATGAACTACCAATACAATCTGAGGAAGCCTCAGAAACGAAATGTAGGTGTTGACTGATATTAAATTGTTCTTCCATCCCCAATTTGGTTTTGACTTCCTTATATATTATTTAAAAAGAGGGAGAAACAGAACTGTAATTTACAAATTATGAAATGCATAGGAGTTGATGAGACATGGGATGTGGTATAATGCCTGAATAATACGGTAATATAATAAGGACATAATAATAATGTTATACTCTGTCAATCTACATATTAACTTACTTTTGTTTAATCCAACCACAGAAATATTGTTAGTTTCATTAAGAAGTTGTTTCCGTTTTCTATCGTTCTGCCATCGATTTCCTACACACTTCTCTTTGACTGCGGTCACTATCTTGTTGGCCTTTTTCACATAATCGGAATAGCGCATTGTGGTGGTTATTGGACAGTTACATTGAGGACACGTTTTGACGCCAACCTTTTCCGATGCCGTCTCCAACCACATCTCCATGCCTTCGTTTTCGATAACGTGTCCGCAATCCAACAGTTCTACAAACCGAGCATTATCATCCTCCTCATTGCCCATCAAAATGAAAGAAGTCAATTCTTCTTTATCACAGATCCGACATAAATGGGGGCATGGATCGCCGCAAAAACCGATGCAGTTGTGACCACAAGGAAGACGTCGAAGACAGGGCTCAGTACAGGGAGGAACGGAACATGGGAGACCGCAGTAATTCTCGCACCGCAAGTGCTGACAACGTCTCGGACATGGTTCTTTACAATCAACGCATGGTTGTCCACATTTTCTAGGACATTTACTATGTACACAGCTATACGTGCACTTTTGGTCGCATGGAGGACATGAAGCTCGGCATGGCGTACGACAGACGTGACCGCACACTAATGGGAACTCGCACTTTTCTGAACAGGTAACGTGTATGCGACCCTGTGCACAATTACCACACGTGCCATAACATTGATGACCACAGGCTAATCGTTCTCCACATGGACTTGAACAGTATTTAGTCANAATAGACACGAAAATGGATAACTATTACCATTTATGGACATTAGAGCCGGTAATTCAATGTTGGAAAAGCTGGACGGTGTGCACCGTCCATTTCAGGAGCTAATCGATTGGAACGGAGAAGTTGATGACTAGAACCCCCTATTTGTTCTCCACATTCTGGACACTTACTCACTTCCATAGCTCCACCACATTCGCCGATGGCATACGGATGCCCATTAGGACATGCGAACCAATGCCCCTGTCTCATTTGCATAGCGGTAATTATTTGACGTTTTTCTTCATCTGTTATAACGGTTGCTCCGTTTATCGCTTTATTGAGTAACTGTAAAGATTCTTTGGATTTATTATCACAATTATCAGACCATCTTTTACAAATAAACACATTATTATGGGCGGATTTAAAGGCACTTTGAACGTTAGCTAGTGATTTTGAATTTTTAAAATGAGTCGACTTCTCAATTTGAGCCAACTGTATAATTCGATTAAATCGCGTGATTTCTAAGTCAAAATCCAAACGAGTTTGATCAGACATGCGTTCAGCTTCGAATACTCTTTTAAATAGAAAGTATGCGTAATCGTCGTAAACACCTTCTAACATTATTTTGGCATCTGCTATCTTCTGCATTATTAGTTTGATTACATTTATTTTTGCCTCTATTGAATCTAATGACATAGCCGTTATGTTGTTTCGTCGACCTCGTCGATTAGGTAGTAAAGACTCTTCTAATTCTCGAAGAAGGTTTTCTTTAACCAACTGTCTTGTATCTAATATCAATAAAAAAAAAGCAATTAAGTTTTAAAACTACTTAAAGTTGTACACACATACATTGAAACTTGCGATTTCAGTGTAAAGTTAAAATTTCGGATTTTTGTATTAGGATAGCATAAGTCAAGAAAGGTATCCCCCATTAGGGTTTTTTCAATCTAGAGGTTGGTTTCGAAAATTAAGTTGGCTCTACTGTTGATGTTATGACAATTAATAAATGTAAACAAACAAGAGAAGACGAAGGCAATTATAAAGTATTTAAATAATTTGTTTGCAGAGTTAAAATTTATACTAAAAGAAAGAGTCGAATTTTCTGATTTTGGTGATGAATTTGCTTCTCAATTGATTCTTTAGTTAGTTTGCAGTGGTGTGTTTCATATTTAGAGGTTATATTATCTACATGTATTGAAAACAAAATTAAAAAGGAACGTGTGCCGACTATAATTATGCTTGAAATGTATTATCTGGTGCCTAGAGATGTGTTGGTTTTATGTGTTATGTCCTGTTCGTTAGCGTTATATAGCATTTGAGATGTATACTGTAAATATTCAGATAAGAAATTATAGTGCTACTTTTTCAGTAATAGTACAAATACAACTAGTAAAACTTATCTTTGCTGCTATTACTATGTGATTTTTTTACTTACTTGATGTAACAAAGTTAGTACTTGTAGATGTTTAACTCTTCCAGGTCTCCATTTTACATTGAAAAAGCGTAAGTTGAATATCCTTAATTGTAGCAATCAGAGTGCAGATGTTTTCTAATTATGTGTGTGATTGTGTACAGAATGCCAAAAGTTAAGATACATTTCTTGCAAATGTTTAATAAAACATTTATTATGAGTGTGTAAGTTTGTAAACGCATTTATGATTGCCTTGTAGTAGTGAAGTTGACATAGCAACAAAATGTTCTTTTATGGAAATCTGTTAAAGGATAACTAATTAAAATTAATACAATTTTATAGTAACACGGAAAGTAAATACATTTGAAAAGGCTGCAACAACATATAGAAAGAACCCAATTTCTAAAAAAGGTCTAAAATGTCTTAATACCAAATCGATTAGGATTTAACATTTTATAACTCCATGTCAACAAAACAACAACAAATGCAATCTGAATTTATAAAACTTTTATTGTAAAAAAATGTCCACATTTTNCGCACACTAATGGGAACTCGCACTTTTCTGAACAGGTAACGTGTATGCGACCCTGTGCACAATTACCACACGTGCCATAACATTGATGACCACAGGCTAATCGTTCTCCACATGGACTTGAACAGTATTTAGTCATACTGAAATTTCCACTTAGAAGATCTGAAAAGTATATACGTACGTTAAAGTTTGAAAATAGTTTCGTAAAGTATTAATATTCTGCTAATTATTATCAAATAGTAAAAAAAAAACCATCCAGTACAAAATAAATGTAGGGTACTTAAAAAAAAAAACATAAAAGACCATGATTAACTCAACAAGTCGATGAATTTAGTAAAAAGGAAATAGAAATAGAAAGAAACCTATAAACAATAAAGGATTATTTATCACATTGTAACAAAGAAAATCAATGACAGTGAAACGAAATAGTCTATAATAGCAATCATTGACAAAGGTGAATTTAGATGCGTAAAACCGAAAATTGCAATACACAACGGATTACACAGAATATTATATATAAAAGAAATTATGAGTGCTGTCAGCACAGGGCAAAGTAGTATTACGTAGTATCAGCAATTTCTTATGCTGAAATGTACGATGTGTTGCATACTTATTTACAAACAATTCGTTTAAATTTAATTTTTCAAACAATTTTTAACACGAAGAAAGTGATTAAACAAATTGTTCACAAAAGTGAATTTCGACCACTCGAAGTAATGGTGCTAACAGTTTCGATTTCCCAGTGATTGATAGGGGAGATAGGGGAACTAGTTAAAATAATAAATGGAAGTAAAATGAGCAAATCTGAAATTAAATGAAGGGTTTAGGAAGAGAAATGAAGAAGATTTACCCTGGGTGAATAATATGAGAAATAATGTTGAACATACAAAAAAATAAAGTACTGGAAAATGTCAATTTACAGGAATAAAGGGAGGAAGCACGATTGCTTTTTCAAAGAGTATGACATTATATGAACTTGCAATAACACGTACCTTCGTTACGTAGATGGCAAAGCACATCAACAGTGTGTCCGCAGTCGGAAGGTTTGTTACTTTTAACGAGTACTTTGCATGAAACAGTGCATTTCTGATTACACCGTTGTTGACATGGATGACCACAAGGTAAGAGAAGTGTACAGGTTCCTTTACAATCCAAACGAGTTGGATTTTTATAACATTTGACTTGTACCATGTGAGTACAGGGAGCCATTTTTTGAACCTAAATATAAACAAAAACAATTACGTTATAAATTAAATTGCAATATTATAATTAACAAAATGTTTATTATGATTATCACATCGCCTACAATAACGATTTGTATTTAAATCTTTAATTCCCAATACACATGTGTTAAAAACGTCTAGAAAATTGCTAATTTGATTAATAAAATTAAACAGTAATACGGAATTATATGGGCTGTTATAGATAACTCACTCAGGCTCTTTTTTAGGCTATGCAGAGTACAAATTAAGCTACGTATTTAATTTGAACTTTCATTTTTTCGATAAAATTTATAAAATGGGTAATATTACGTACAGTTGCGCACGCAACTTTCATACCTTACCAAATTTTGACTCTTAATGCATTAACTAAAAAAAAATACATGCGGAAAAAAGTATTCCCATGAAAGCAGTAATATTGGCCGAACAATTTTAATTACATTTGCACTTTATAAGAAATAATATTAAACGAAACATTATCACCTTAAAGTGGCAATCACCACACGGCTCAGAGCAACTCTTCTTGCATTTGTGTCCACAAAGAAGTTCCCTCTTGCATGGTTTACGGCATTCGAAATCGTCCACGTTCGAACTGCATTTTACACCGAAAGCATGGCTGCATTTAGTTCTTTTTTTTAAGACAATTACCTCACATGGTTTACATATTTCGAAACACATCTGCTGGCAGGGATGCTCACCAGTTGAGCAGCCAGCTTTCGGTTTTGAACACGGTTTGGTGCATTTATACTAGACAAAATAAGTTTACATTAAACAATAAACGTTAACAAATACATGATGAAGTCTTCATTTAACATTCAAGTGGCTTCTTATCAAAAAAGCAATTGCTATTATGTGCAATTAAAAAATGAAGGAGCCACCTTTTTTTGCACCTTTATGTAAAACACTAAACTCACTTCCAAATGATCGGGGTCCTTTCCTATATGGCAGGTCATTCTGCAAGAATGACCACATGGTTCTATGCGAGTTTCACAGGGGAACGGACACCTAACTTTCGTAGAATCGATGAAGCAGGGCTTAACCGTCTTATGACCGCAGGGTAAAACGGTGTCCACTTGGGCCTTACAACAAAATTCATTTAGATCCATATAACAGGGAACCAATTCCTCATGTAGGCAAGGTAAAAGTCGTTTCATTAATACCGTGCACTCACCACAATTTTCGAAACATTTCTTGGGACACTGATGACCATTGTCACAAAGTATTCTTAAAAAACAAAAAAAAAACAAATTACTTATACCTAATGAATTAATTTTAAAATGACAATTCTATTCACCTTGTACAGCGTTCTGTGCATCTAAAAGTCTCGTGATCTCTATCAACAAGGTGGCAGCATTTTTTACAAATATGCCCACAATTCAAAAGAGCATTGCACATTTTAAGGCAACCACCTTCTGGCACTTTTTTGAAATCTTCCAGCTTTTCAATATGGGCAACTTGATCTTGGTGAATTTGACAACGTACAGTTAGGCTGGAGCCCAACGCTTTTTGTTTCTCTAATACACCTTTAATATTTGGCCAAATCTAAAATAATGCCATTATTACATTACCTAATTATTACCATTTTTATAGACAAATTATTTTTGATTTATAACGTTAAGTACAAGAATTCGAAAGCTACTTAAAATGTATGTGAGATATTCCACGCTAAATTGTACACTTTTTGGCTTTGTTTTTAATTATTACTCTTATTAAATTTAAACAATTTACAATTGTTTTGTTACAAGATATAAAAGTTTTTCATGAATACACAATTTGGAAAAGTAAAATTTGAATTTAGATATGTATAATTTAACAGAATTGTAATTTTTATCTGGAAAAACTTTCTGATTAAACCAAAGTTTGGCGACACGATCGTTTTAACTATATGGTACTTGCCTGACTGTTATTGCACAATAACTGCATATTTCCCATAATATAAAAACCTTCCTTGGCTCGCGAAAGGGCGACACAAACTCGGTTTTCGATCTTTAAAAACCCTATTTTACCTTCATGATTATTTCGTACAAGTGACAAAAGTATAATCTTGCATTCTTCACCCTGATAGTTGTCAAGTACAGTGATTCTAACGTCATGCAGGACGGTACCATAATCTCTTCTTTCACGAAACAAATTGAACATTTGTCCTGAATAGGCGGCTAAAATAGTAATGTCCTCAGGCTTGTACCCATTAAGAATGAGATAACGGGCTAACTGAATTAGATATTTTGCCTCATGGTCGTTCTTTTTACTGGAGTCGCCCCATTCTCCTTCTGGTTCATTATGATTTATGAAATAAAGAGAACTGTCGATGCCCATGACAGGAGGATAATTCAGAACAGATTCATGATTTTCCAATTCTGGATAAATAGCTGGAACGATGAGGGAAGCTATTTCGGGACGCATTCTGTGCTGCACTTTAAGAGTGTTCAAATGCATGTTGTTTACAACCATGCGTTCGAACAAACTTATTCCCAATTTATATTTCGTTTCAGTATGAAAGTCAGCCGTAGAAGGTCGCAGTTGTTTGTGATCTCCGATGAGTAATAAATGTTGACAATGTTTCGTCAATGAAACAATAATGTGAGACTCTAATACTTCTGCAGCCTCTTCTACTATTACAACTCGGCATTTCAAGGACTGTAGTGTCGTTTGCAGTCGGGCTGCTCCAGTTGTTGTCATCCCCACTACATCCATTGTTCGTATTAGTTGAAGGTTTTCTATATCTTTTAGTTCGGCGTATTGTTTGTAAATTTTACTATAATCTTGCTGCAGTTTCTTTGAACGATTGAAGAGCAGATTTAAAAATTGAGTTACCCAAAAATAGTACAGATTCCAACGGTCTTCCGATTTCATGTTTGTAGGAGTTTTATAATCAATGTCTCGTGGCTTTTTTAAACTTTTTGGATCTTGTCTTAGTGTTTTTTCTCCTTCATTTAATTTTTCCTAAAACAATATTTGTTGCAAACACAGCAATAGTTAATACAAAATATGACTAGTAAAATACTTTGAAGAATTTCAGTTCTTCTCTTGCTTGGAAATAAACCCACTGCAATTCCTGTTCTTCTAAATAGGAATGTACATCCAAACCTTGATTCCTAAGGTCAATTAATTTGCATTCATTATTTTTAATTTTCTCTTCCATGGTTTTGATATTTACCAAGTAATTTGGCATATTAAAGTGAGCAATATTCGGTAAGAAATCCATTTCAATTTCATCTTTGTCGTCAGTATGAATGTTTTCGTCAATTTCTTCATAAATTTCCTCTTCCGAGTCAATTTCATCATCGTTTTTCGACTCATTTTCTTCATTTATCTAAATAAAATTATAAAACTATAAATACAAAACTATAAATAAATAAATAGTTAATCAGCTTACCTCAGGGGGCATGTTATTCTGTTCTTCTATATCTAATCTCTGTCTGTCTCTCCCACCAAACAACCAATCGATAACTTCTTGTGGTTTTGCGTATTCAAACCACGATGATCTAATTTTATTATCAATACACCAAAGTGGGTTTACATTTAGAACCCCATCATTTTTTATAATACGGTCTATTGTTTCATTGACTGCTTTTATTTCGGCAAAAATATTTGTAAGATCTTTTCTTTTTTCATATAATGCATGTCCAAATTGCCCACCTATTTTAACTTTCTTTTTTTGCTCTCTTAGGCTGTAATTTTTCAATTTCTCATTTTTGGATTGGCCTCCCACCCGTACGATTTTGTCAGTAAATTGTAAAAGACCTTCCAAAAACTGATCCAAGGCATGATTCGTAAAACAAACTACTAACATTGGCATTTTGGTATTCTCTGGTATGCGACCATAAATATTCCACAATTCTAAATTTTCTAACAGGACTTCCGCAATTTTTAGACCCAGATAGGTTTTTCCGGTACCAGGAGGGCCTTGAATAACCACGAATTCTTCAGTTAAAGCGCTTCGAAATGCATTGAATTGTGAATCATCAAATTCACTCAGTTGGGCCCTCAGATTTGACCATGTAAGTGGATTATTTAATACTGGAACTGAATTGTTTCTTAGAGTTAAATATCCGCTGACTGGAAGAAGATAATCTGGTGGTTTTACATCAGGGTTTACATAGATAAAGTATTGTTTCATAGGGAAATGTTCCGGATTGAAATCTTGTAATGCTGCGAGGACATGGTAGTATGGTTCAAAATAGACTTTACTTTCAATCATTGTGTACGATTTGTCAAATTCATAGGCGGAATTGTATTCCTTTTCGAATCCAATAACAAGCTGGTCATTTTCCAATAATTCCTTGTTTCGTTCAAGTACCTTGCCAAATATAAGGGTAGCAAAGTTATCTTTTGTAAAACACATTAACGACCCATACATAAATTGTCTAGAATTTTCAAAGTTTTGTTTACGTTTTTGCTTTTTGAACGATGAAGTAAGCTGAATAACGACACCAACCTGGTCGTTTATAGTTTTATTATATAAAAAATAAACATTTTCGTAGATCTTTACAGACGAGTTTTTCAGTTTTGCGTTTTTCGGTTTTGGAGTTGTTTTGAATTCTCTATAGTCGCAAATACCTTTCCTTAGCGGAGCTACAAAGTCTTCTCTTAATAATCTAAACTGAATATCAAGATAATGTTCAACATTTTTATAGGGTCCTTTTACAATATTTTCTCTAATAAAAGGTTTAGTAATCGAAATGACTTCTTCGGGTAATGGATAAACACTTATCTCCCGGAAATCATCGGGTGGTTCTTCATCATGGATGGACTCCTGTTTCATTGCCGTTTTTCTTCTCTCTTGCTCCTTGACGCACATGTCGAATTTTAATTTTAAATCTGAAAACTTCTGATTTGTTTCTTCTGATATAGTAACTATGTTACTGGCTTTAAGAAGTTCTGATGTAACTTCATAACTTTTAATTATTTTTTCTAATTTATCGCATGCCATGCTTGGTGCAATATCTATCAACATATTGCACGTAACAAACAAATTGTTAAAAAAAATTTCAGGTTCCTTCCAAAAATATTGGTTGCGTCGTTTTTCTTGTTGAGTCTGTGCATATAGTCTGGTGACATAATCGAATAAACTGTTTAAAAATTTCTCCGATGAAATTAAATTTACTACTGCAAATTTATTGTGAATAAATGTAGATGATGAAACTTTGGCCAAAATTTTTATTATCAGAACAATGAAATCAGGGCTCAAATTACTACTGAGAACCGTTTCTAAATCAGCATCCTGTAATTGTATAATTATCATTTCAGGATCCATTTGGTACATTTCTTCTAACTTTTTAAAACCCAGAAACTTTTTTCTGGTTGTTCTTTGACTAGCACTGGTTTTAAAATTTGTTTGGTTACCACCTATTTCTGATGTATGATAGATAGTGTTTCTATTTTGAAATGAATCATTTCTTCTTTGTGGTAAATTGTTTCTGTTTATATTATCTGGTCCATTTCTATATCCTTTCCTTGTTGAGTAATTTTCTTTTACATTACTTTTTGGATTTTGTGAAATATAAACATTCGTTTCATCTTTATTTCTTATTGTCTGATTGGTTTTCTTTATGTGAGGCTGCATCGAACTTTTAAGGTATTTGTTTAGAAACTGTTCCTTTGCATATTGCGTTTTATGGTTTCTTTTACTTCTGATTACTGAATTGTTTTCTTCAGGGGCAACCGGATTAGATTCTGCTACAGCTGCGGTTGCACAAAAGGAAAACTAATGAGTATAACAATTTTATGAAATANAAAAAACCACTCAGTTAATTCATACAAAGTTGATATTTTTGCATAGATAATTTTTTTCTTATTGTCTTAACCAAAGTTTAAATCAAAACCGTTCTTTTATTAAATAAATTTTTACATTAATGTTGAATTTTATTGTAATGTTATCATCTAGCTGTACTACTATTAGTACAACCTCATAGCGTTCATTTTCGAGCGCCTTACTACACTAAAGTAATTACGAATATAGTTTATATTAACATTTCAATTGATTCTAATGATCCTAATTAACGAGTCGTGAATGGCAGAATCTCAACTAACTTTATTGGGACCTCTTCGCATCTTCGTAGAAGTAAAACTTACCTTTCACCTTTACGTGAGCAGACAGCAGGTGAATCTCCGCTAAAAATGGTGTTTCAAATTGATATCGTCGAATTTAATATTAAATTAATGGATTCGTTCGGTAACAAAAACCGCGTTTTGTTCGTTGTGCCGTAAAAATCAAAATGCGTAGACATTTCATAAACACATTCGCGCTAATAGTATTATGTGTAGTTTTCCTTTTAAGTGGATTCGTTGTTATTAACAAAAAAAGTGTCGTTAACAATAATAAGAAAGGACACGGTGAAGAATATGTTGGAAATTATGTTTCAAGTACAAAATCGAGTGCTAGCCGGAAAAAATTTACGACCCCACGGAAGAAACACGTGACAAAATCTTTAAACGAATTGCCGCCAATGGACCACTTAAATGCTCATGCGCTCTTTTTGAATACGATACCAAAAAGTGGCGCCGAAGTACTAGTTTTGTTATTAAAATGGCTCCAGGGACGGAACAGTTTCAAACACGTGAAACTTAAAAAAGAAAACAACAACAAACTTACAATTATTCAACAGGTGCGATTATACAGGGTGAACAACAGTGTAACTGTTTTCAAAACCAACTTTTATTTCAGCAAACACTACAAATGGCGCAGTAAACGCCATCTGTAGCACGATGCTACATTTTAGGATTACGTATGCTCCAACAAGGTCCAAAAAATGTAGCATCGTGCTACAGATGGCGTTTACTTCGCCATTTGTAGTATTTTCTAAAACGCACTGTTAAGACAGCAGGTAAAAGTTGGTCTGTGTTCTGTCGGACTGTCTGCGACGCACTGATGAGATCCAAGAAGATCGAAATCGCGATCCGATTCGACAGAATACAGACCATTTCGAATTATTTTAACTTTTATTTCTTTTGTGTACTTTAACGAATAAAATAACAATGATAAGTTTTACGTAATTATAAGGACTTTTTATGAAGTGGGAAAAAAATCAATGGTAGAAGCGCCACTTATTAATTAAAGTAGGGGAAACTTAAAAAATAAGTACCCACTTAAGTTATTTATTTATTTTCTAATTTTTGTTAATTTTATTTTAGGAGAATTTAATATACGAAGTAGAAGACACGTTGAGAAATGAGGCGATACCCGTATCGTTCGATAAAGAAGTTCGATTTGTTAATTTTTCATTGATTGGAAAGCAGTCGCCTACGTTCTTTACATTAATTCGTAATCCGGAGGAACTAATTACTGCAAGGTAATTATTATTAATATTAACTAAAGTGCATCACCATCACACAATAAAGACATCTTAAGCACTATTTAATTGTTATTGTGATTTTGTAAATAAATATGCAATTATTTACCCAATTAATTATCAATACTAAATGACATAGACTAAATACTATATATATATGAACCATTTCGACATTTAATAGGGGTTGATATCAAGTTAATGTGAACATTTTATTTTTAATTTTTTCCCACTACAAACTACCTCAAATTAATGAGGGAAAATTTGTTGCTATTGTCACACCCTCACCGGGAATCGAACCCGGGACCTTTGGCTTTACGCATCAATGCTCGATTCCCGGCGAGGCTGTGATAACAGCAACAAATTTTTCCCTCATTAATTTGAGGTAGTTTATAATGGGAAAAAATTAAAAATGAATTTTCACATTAATTTGATAGACTAAATCATCATTTATGTACAAGTATTTATTTTAACCAGTATTTCGTGTGGTTTATTCAATATTTATTCAATTTATCTAACATAAGAAGAATTTAAACTATTGTATCGGTCGAGAATTGATCCCGGGTCGTCTGCCTGACATTGCAGGACTCTATCAACGTTTTTTTACTTATAAACGATTTTATTTTTTAGGTACCCCAATTTGACCGATGATTATATAAAAAATTGCTCAACAAATGACCCAGGTTGTCTGTTTAACAGTAACGATAATGGTATAGAACTTAACATTCCGTATTTTTGCGGATACAGCCCACGCTGCGAGTAAGAGCTTTTTCATTTCTTTTTTAATTTAGCATACTTTGAGTTAAAATAATTTTTGCAGCTCTCTAAATGACGATTGGGCTTTGGCTGTTGCGAAAGAAAATGTAGAAAAATATTACCCTGTCGTTGGAGTATTGGACGAAATCTACAGTACAATTACTTGTCTGGAACTGAAACTTCATTATTTCTTTAGAGGGGCGACAATGATGTACAAGAAAAAATTATTAGGTAGTTTAATTTTGTGTCTATTATTATAAAATAAATTAAACTCGACTAATTTACTTTATCTAACATAAATAAAGAAAAAAGTACTTCTTTTCTACATTATCACTTGACCCAGTATGTAGTTTTATTTCCTCATAAAACACTGCAACTTTCAGTCTTACATTTTCGAGAAAATAAAATGAATTTTTTTCTTTTAGGTTTTAATAAAAAGAAGAAAACTTCCAAAAATACAAAGAAGGGAGACTACAAACACCTCAAAAAAATATTGAGAGCAGAAATAGCATTTTACGAGTGGATAAAGTTTAGGCTGTTCAAAGATATAAATAATAAAAGATTGTTCTGAAGCAGTGTATTATTATATCATACAATTATCATTTAAATGTTTAGTAGTGTCGTCTTAAAATTTGTTTGAATGTATTTTCCTATTTTGGATTTTAATAAAAAAGAATATTAACTTCTTGACCAACCTTCGTATAACAGCTGTTTGAAAATCCGTATCTATATATAAGGAACGATCGAGGAGTTGGAAAACGTTTTATTTGGATAATTTCGAATTTCAATGAGTTGAACTTCTTGACCAACCTTTGTATACCGCTGTTTAAAAAAGGTGTCTACAAGGAACGGTCAGGAAGTTGGAGAGCGTTTTTCCTGGATAATTTCGAATTTCAATAAGGAAAGTTGAATTTCTTGACCAACGTTTGTATACCTCTGTTTAAAAACGGTATCTACAAGCGACTGTACAGACACTGGAAAACGTTTTGCTTAGATAATTTTGAATTTCAATAGAAAAGTTTAACTTCCTGACGTACCTTCGTATAACGCTATTTGAAAAACGTTATCTACAAGGGACGGTCAGGAAGTTGGAGAGCGTCTTACCTGGATAATTTCGAATTTTAATAAGGAAAGTTGAACTTCTTGAACAACATTTGTATACCGTTGTTTAAAAACGGTATCTACAAGGGACGGTCAGGAAGTTGGAGATCATTTTGCCTGGATAATTTCGAATTTCAATAAGGAAAGTTAAACTTCTTGATCAACCTTTGTATATCGCTGTTTAAAAAGGTATCTACAAGGGACGGTCAGGAAGTTGGAGAGCGTTTTGGCTGGATAATTTCGAATTTCAATAAGGAAAGTTAAACTTCTTGACCAACCTTTGTATACTGCTGTTTAAAAACGGTATCTACAAGCGGCTGTACAGACATTGGAAAACGTTTTGCATAGATAATTTTGAATTTCAATAGAAAAGAAAGTTGAACTTCCTGACGTACCTTCGTATACCGCAATTTTAAAAACGATATCTACAAGGGACGGTCGAGAAGTTGGAAAACGTTTTGCTTGGATAACTTTGGATTTTAATATAAAAGAAAGCTGTACTACTTGACTCACCTGTTTGAAAAATGATATCTACAAGGGATGGTCGAGATGTTTGAAAACGTTTTGCACGAGTTATATAAGTATAACATTTATGAAAAATTATTTATATGAATCTTGCGCAAACCTAACAATTAACACTCTCAGAAAAGAAGATCATGTTCATGTACAAATAAATAATAATTAGCAACCAAACCTTTAGTCATTTCTTCTTCGCGTCTTTTAACCCTGCACCGGCGTTAAATTTGAAGAAAATTATGTCACCATCTTCAACGACGTAATTGCGCCCTTGCTGTCTGTATTTGCCGGCAGCTTTTACCGCCGCCTCTGTTCCTTCTTCCTTGAAATCCTTGAACTTCATCACTTCGGCCATTATGAAACCCTTTTCGAAATCGGTGTGGATTTTTCCCGCCGCCTGTGGCGCTTTCGTGCCTTTCTAATTAACAAACAATATACCGGGTGTTCAAAAAAATATAGACAGTACAAAAAAAAATAAATGTATCTACCAAATTCATTTATTTACCTGAATTGTCCATGCTTTGACTTCATCTGGCCCAGAAGTGAAGAAATATTCCAGCTGAAGTGCTTTATAACCCTGGACGATGATTTTATCCAATGCACTTAAAAAATAACGGTTCTTTATATATGTTGCGAAATTTAAAAACAATTTGGTTACATGTACCTAGTGCATTTGTTTTCTTCTAGATATTTTTGTCGTTCAGGAGGTTCCATTTCCGAAAGTTTTTGTTCAAATGCTCCAGAAAAGGGGATAATTGTAGCACCTGGATCGTTCTTATCAACCCATTCCTTAATTTTTGGCAACCTGAAATAAATGAAAACCGAAAAATTAGTCTGGTTTTTGGTTAATAACTCTTTCTAATTTCTACTTACCATTTGTTCTTCTTTCTTATATAATCTTTTTCTGACAAATTGACCAAATATATGCCTGGCTTTGTTGTAAGAAACAAATATTTGTTTAGTATTTCTATCTGTAAAAGAACATTACAAACTCTTAAAATAAAATAAGAAATTAATATATGCATACATTAATTAACCATATATATTCTCATATACCTATGCATATTAATTATTTAATTTATAGATCTCATTACATTATATACTGAACTGTTTAAGTTTCTTATTGTAATAACAAATTTTAACAATAATTTGAGGCCACTAATATGAATATTAAAAAGATCAGACAAGATAATAGCATCGTGTATAAAGAGTACAAAAAATATCCAGTTATAATTTCGTCATTGTCATTGTGGTGTTAACACTGTGGGAGGTGTTACACCCTATCGCTTTTATTTTTATCGTAATGAAATCTAAAATGGCTTTTTTTCTTTTTCTAATAATACTGGGTGGTCGATTTATTTAAACGAAGGTTATCTTTTTAAAATAAACACCCTGTTCCGGTAAATTTGGATTATGATGCAAATATTCAGGAATGAATTATTCCAGGGAATGGAATTTTATGCAAAATGTATCGTATCGTAATGGACTAACAAAAAAATAAAAAACTAATTTGTAACACAGGGTTAAAATAATTTGTAGATATGTTAACGGAAATAATCAGTGTGTAATCCGTCATTGTATACAATTCCTAGGAAATGTATAGTTTATAACTCCTAAAATCGCCCGGGAATGTGTGAAATAAATTATATTAGACATATTTCCTAGGAAATCTATACATTTCTTAAATAGCAATCGGAAGTGTATTACACTCAAAATGTCAATTGGTACGCGGAGATAACAGAGCAAGGGGGGGTATTCATTTTATTTACAGAAAGCATTAGTTTTATACAATTCCTAGGAAATGTATACATTTCCCAGGATATGTGTGTATGAAAAACTCTTTGAAACAATATTTTATACATTTCCTAAATAGCCTCGGAATTAGAAAATACTACAAATGGCGCAGTAAACGCCATCTGTAGCACGATGCTACATTTTAGGATTACGTATGCTCCAACAAGGTCCACTTGTGTGGATATCTACTTGCTGAAAACGAATCCCGGCGTAGCCAAGCTCAACGTGATAAGCACGTTAGCTTAATCGAATAAAATAATTCGAAGTGGTCTGTATTCTGTCGAAACTGCCAGACGCGGATCGCGATTTCGATCTTTTTGGATCTCATCAGCGCGTCGCAGGCAGCTCCGACAGAACACAGACCAACTTTTACCTGCTGTCTTAACAGACAGAGATCCAAAAAGATCGAAATCGCGACCGCGTCTGGCAGTTTCGACAGAATACAGACCACTTCGAATTATTTTACCCTCGGAATTGTATACATTTCCTAGGAATTGTATACATTTCCTAGGAATTGTATTCAATTCCTAGATTTCATACATTTCATTTCTTACCTCAGTAGTGTGCCAATCAGCAAAGCGAATGTGCTTCTTTTCATCCAATAAAACAGTTTTAATTTTAGCAAGACAATCCTGTAAGTAAAAAAAAAAAAAAGATTTGTGAACACTAAATGCACCTGTCGCAATAAAAATAAATATTTTTTGAGAACTTTCATCTAAAATAGATGCGGCATATACAGGCTAATAAAACATGAAAATACTTTTTGTTCAAAGAAAGTATGAGCAAAGGTACCGAAAAATTCCTAAAGCGTTGTTTTGATTTGTAGGCGTGAAGCAATGTCATTATCGAAAAGAATAAATGCTCGTGTTCCAAGGGTTTGCACCGTCATTTTACCGATGATCATCATCTTTCATTGATACATTATTTCTTTTATTCAATATTATTTATTATTTACGACAATAAGAACACGGGTCAGTCTGGCCGAGATAAGAGCTGAGATACGGACCAAACAACACCTGTTGGGCGGCAAAGCACAACGATTTCCGACCACGGTGCGGTGTCTTGAACTGACCCAGCGGGCGGTACACCACCCACAATCGGTCCACCTAACACGCCCAGCCTCGTGTTAGTCTCGTGCCGGACATTCACGCATATCAAGTACTTTTTCACTATTTTATTTCTTTTATTTTATTTTTTTTAAATTTAACAAAGAGTCTATAGAAGTTCGTTCTTACGTAACCAAGAAATTAATATTTTATATACAA